TTCTTGGGGGCTATTGTAAATGGTATTGATTTGGTGATTTCCTCTTCAAGGTTCTCTTTGTTGGTGTAAAGGAATCCAACTGATTTTTGTATGTTTATCTTGTATCCTGAAACTTTGCTGAACTCTTCTATTAGTTCCAGTAGATTTCTTGTGGATTCCTTGGGGTTTTCCATGTATAAGATCATATCATCTGCGAATAGAGATACTTTCACTTCTTCCCTACCTATTTGGATGCCCTTTATTTCTTTTTCTAGCCTAACTGCTCTGGCTAGGACCTCCAGCACAATGTTGAAATCTCCTACTTCTATTGTGGAGCTATCTCTCTCTTCAGAGCTGTTAGAGTTTGTTTTATGTATTTTGTAGCCCTGTTGTTGGGTACGTAAATATTTATTATAGTTATGTCCTCCTGGTGCATTGACACTTTGATCATTATATAGTGCCCTTCCTTATCCTTTGTGGTGGATTTTACTTTAAAGTCGATTTTGTCAGAGATTAATATTGCCACTCCTGCTCTTTTTTGTGTTGTTTGCTTGATATATTTTTTTTCCAACCTTTGAGTTTTAGCCTGTTTGTGTCTTTAAGTCTAAGGTGCGTCTCTTGTAGGCAGCATATGGATGGATTGTGTTTTTTATCCAATCTGCCACTCTCTGTCTCTTTATTGGTGCATTAAGTCCTTTTACATTCAGTGTAATTATTGATAGGTATGAGTTTAGTACTGTCATCCTGATATCTCTTTTTAGGTGTTGTTCACAGTTTTTTGTTCTCCTCAATTTTCTGTGCTGAGTCATTTTTCTTTATGAATTTTTGTTTCATCTTTTTCTTTGTTGTAGAGTTTGTGTTTGCTGGGTCTTTATATTTTTCTACTTTTTTATTTTTATTTGTAGGATTGTTAGATTCCTTTGTGGTTACCTTAGTATTTACCCCTAATTTTCTAAGTTTATACCAGTCTTTGATTACTTTATATCACCTTAACTTCCCCTCCATATAGAAAATCAATGTCTCTATTTTTTAAGTCCCTCTTTTTTTGTTTTAATATTATCCTTTTTTTTTTACATATTGATATCTGTTCCCCTATTTTCAATGTTTTAGCTTTGATGTAATTTCGATTTCTGTATCTGAGTCAATATCTGGTTGCTCTGTTCTGTGTTCTAGTCTCGCGTTGTTAGCTGGTGTTATTGATTATCTAACTGTAGGACTCCCTTTAGTATTTCTTGTAATTTTGCTTTGGTTTTTGCAAATTCCCTGAACTTCATTTTATCTCAAAATGCCCTAATTTCGCCATCATATTTGAGAGACAGTTTTGCTGGATATATAACTCTCGGCTGACAGTTATTTTCCTTCAAGGCTTAAATATGTCATCCCATTGCCTTCTAGCCTGCATGGTTTCTGCTGAGCAGTCTGAGCTTATTCTAGTTGACTCTCCTTTGTAGATGACTTTTCTTTTATCCCTAGCAGCTCTTAAATTTCTCTCTTTATCTTTGGTTTTCGTAAGTTTGATTATAATATGTCTTGGTGACTTTCTTTTGGGATCTACCTTATGTGGGGTTCGATGAGCATCTTGGATAGATATCTTCTCATGATATCAGGGAAGTTTTCTGTCATCAAATCTTCAACAATTTTCTCTGTATTTTCTGTTATCCCCCTCTCTGTTCTGGTATTCCAATCACTCGTAGGATATTTCTCTTGATAGAGTCCCACATGACTCTTAGAATTTCTTCATTCTTTTTAATTCTTTTATCTGATTTTTCCTCAAATAAGTTGGCATCAAGAGCTTTATCTTCAATGTCACTGATTCTAACTTCTACTGCCTCAGTTCTGCTCCTATGACTTTCTATTGAGTTGTCTAATTCTGAAATTTTATTGTTAATCTTCTGGATTTCTGATTGCTGTCTCTCTATGGATTCTTGCAGCCTATTAAATCTGGCATTATGTTCTTGAATAACTTTTTTAAGTTCGGCTACTACTGTGTCTGTATGTTCCCTGGCTGTTTCTGCATTCTGTCGAATTTCCTTTCCTATTTCTAGAAGAGTTCTGTATATTAATCTTTTTTATTCTGCCTCTGGTAATTCCAAGAAGTTCTCTTCCTCCAGAGATTTTATTGATTCTTTATTTTGGGAGTTTGCTGAACCCGTCATGGACTGCCTCTTTATGTGACTTGATATTGACTGTTGTCTCCGAGCCATCAATAATTTATTGTAATTTTATTTTGTGTTTGCTTAGTAAGACCTAGCTTCTTGTTTTGTTTTGATATACCCAAATAGGCTGCTAGTGTGCACTAGTTTGATTTTTGATACCTTTTGATCTCTAATGTCCTGTCACCAGGTAGTTAGTTCTGTAACTAAGTATGTGCACACTGGAGTCCATTAAATTTTCCTATATGGGATCAGCTCGGATGTGCAGGCAGTCGGTCACCAAGTGTGTGATGCAGGCTCTCACCCTCAGTCCTAGAGAGGCATGGGTGATTGGTGCAAGCACTGGACTCTGGCTGTGGTAGGGGATCACGCACTGAGCCAGGCAGGGGGCTGATGGCTGCCCCTGGGAGTTCATTCCAGGTAAACTTTTAAAATACTTTTATTATTATGATGGGCCAGTGGACAACATTAATAAGGAGGTTGCCATCAAGGGGGCTACTGTTGCTGAATTTGCTCTATTTTACTCTGAATTAAGTTGCTGCTATGATAGTTCCCCATCATCCATGGTCCTATGAGACAAACCATTTTCCTACCACTCTGTGACAATAGACATAAACCCAGCACCTGGGAGGGCCTGTTTCCCAGCCTGGAGCCACATTGGACTCTTTCAGCTGAAGGACTGCTATCTCTGCCAGGGGTCCGGTGAAGGGGTGGCCCTGAGGCTTGGAAGTCTGTGATCAGGCATGAGGGGGAATCGTCTGTGACCCCAAGTAGCGTTGAGAGACCAAGGGCAGGATCTGGAAGCAGAACCCAGCATCTGCAGCAGAAGGGGCTCCTCCCACCAGCACCCAAGTTCCCAGGGCCCTGTGTCTCCTCATCCCAGACTGCTTGGGTGGGCTCCTTACCTGATCTGTCTCCACGATCTCCTTTTTGGCCCTTGGCTCCTGGAGCCCCAGGGAGCCCTGTATTTCCTGGAGGCCCAAATTTCCCGGGAGGGCCCTGCAAGCCTCTGAGCCCTTGACCTGTTGAAAGGCAAAGGAAACATGACCCAAACACTCATTCTCTTCCTCCAAGAACTCAATATTCAATTTACATTTACCCCAGGAATTGGCAGCCTTGGGCCCATTTTCTGGGTCATTGCTTCCAGTGAGCTTTGGTGGCCCAGGGGAAGGCTGTCATGAGGCCAGCTCCCTGAGCAGGCAGGACAGCCCCTCTCTTTGTACAACCCACACCATCAGTTCCTGTGTGCTAATGTGGGTCCTGGAGAGCCAGAGAAGCATCACTGCTGTGGAGGAAACCATCATCAGCACCTCCATACTTGAGCCCTGGTAGGGGACATAAAGATTTAGGGGGACAGAGCAGCCCACCCTGTACCTTGTTCTCCTTTTTCTCCCTTGGGCCCATCTCGCCCGTCTCTGCCCGGGGTGCCATTGGTGACAGGGATGCCACAGGCCACCACTGAGCAGGTCTTCTTGGCATCCTCACAGGCTTTAGTTTCTGAGCAGTATGCTGTCACCACGCACAGAAGAAGGAAAGGGAGCCAAGGAGACAGGAACATGGTCCTTACCTCAGATAGAGAAAGTCAAGGAAAATAATGCCCTCTCGTCTTGTTCAGACAAGGGATAGCACAACCCTTGGCTCTGAGTTATTCTCAGGCTACTCGGGAGACAGACAAGTAAACATTAGAATTATATCAGTACTAAAACCCAGGTAGAGACAAGAGCAGTGGGGGCCCATTCTCACTCTGGCTCCAGGGTACCTGTTAGGACAGGTCTTATGGGTTAAGCACTCTCTACCCACGAAAGCCCACAGGGTCTGGAAATTACAACCGAGCCTGTCTCTGGTGGCCTAGCACAGAAGGCAAACAAACCCCATTGCCTGTGTGAGCTCTGGCCCCTCCCTTTCTTGACTCTCTTTCTTGTTGGCTAAGGGAGCCTCTTTCTCCTTCTTCTTCCTTTCCTGATGGGCTCTAGAGCTAGGCTCAAACTGTAGCAGGTCAGCAGAGGTCCCACAAGGCTCCCTTCCTTGGCTGGACCTGGTTTACAGCACTGACTTCCTCATTTCAAACAACAGTTGCTGTTTTCCATGTAGGATCCAATCCACCCAAAAACCTGGCTGTTTCCTCAACAGACTGTCAACCACCTTTTATCAGCTCCTTATTTTGTGGCAGGCACTTGCTGGGGACCCAGAACCCAAGCTTCCCTGAGGCAGTGTTCTGATCCTCAAAATGGACCCTTCCCTCAGTCACTGAACCTGGCCAGGTGAGACATGAGTTTTCCTCCTTCCCTGGGTTTGAGGTTTTCCACCAAGAGAGGCCATTTCTGCCATGTAGAATGGCTCCTAAAATTTCTGTTCTCCCTGGCCTAGCAGAGAGCCAGCTCACTCTCCTTCCCCTGGAAGGATTCTCTGTGTTCTGCACAGCTACCTCCAAGCTCTGTGCCCCCGTCCATCTGTCCATCCCCAACCAGCCTTTGTTTGACTGCCTTCTCCTCCAGGGAACCTTGGCAGCCCAGCCCCATGGGCCTTTCCCTCTACTCCGTTCTGGCCTTTTATTCCAAGTTGCCTTGGCTGCATAACTACTGCATCTGCTTTCACCTCCCCTGGTCTGCCAGCTCCCTTAGCCCTTCCCCACCACGAGGGCTCAGGGAAAGTTGGCCAGTTGGAAGTGAAGTTTCTGGAATACATCTTTCCCCAGTCTTGCTCTTCCTACCTTCCTGTGCTCTTTCTTTTCCCTCTCTTGATGGTGTTGGAGGCCAAGGCCAGGGCCTGAACATGTTGCTGGCACATACACCACTTCTGTGTTTCCTTTGGCTAAAAAGATAGCACTTCTGTTTGTGATGGTCAAGTGGATCAAGAAAGGACACCAATGCCTCAAGTCAGAGACCAGCAGAAGTCCTGGCATGACTGACACCCCACCAAAGCCCCCACTTGGACCTCACCAGTTCAGATAGCCAGACTCCTAGCCCAGGCCAGAGCTCTGTCCTCCAGAAATGACTTCCTGGGGCTCCCGCAGGGCACGGAGGCAATGGCAGGGAAATGACCTTCCAGCCCAGGCAACAGGAAGATGCAACAGTGATGTCAGACCTTATGACCAGCAACAGTGCTGGCCTGGCCTTTAACCCCAGATTAATAAACAACTGTTGTTAGAACTTCTGCAGTCCGGGCAGTTCTCCAGGGCTGCTGGTGGGTCCTCCAGCACAGTGCTGTTGCTGTCCACTTCAATGTCCTGAGCTCCTCCTCTACCCTTCCTCCCGGTTCTCCCCCTACGGCTCCACAGAATCCCAAGGAAAAACATGAGTTAAAGGCCTAAACTCTGAGTCGCCTCATTCCTCCTCTTCTTCTCCGTTTCTTTACAGGATGAAAATGCCTTATTCAATACCTCCCATGGGCAAGTCGCAGGCCTGAGCACAAAGGGAGGCATGTTCGTGGACAGCTTAACCTCAAATCTGGGTTTGGGCTTGTGTACACCACTGCTGCCTCTGCCTGGAACACGCTTCCTTCTATCTTTGCGGAGCTGTCTGTTATCATCCAGATTTCAGCTGAAATATCATCTCCAGAGAACCGGCTTTTCTAACCATTCAATTTCAAGTCACCACTCCATTTAGTCACTAAATGGTGATTATCCTGTTTTCATTCACTGCCTATTATTTATGCCTATGTGAAATTTTCCTATTTATTGGGTTGCTTACTTACTGACCATCCCACCCCACTGGAATGTGAACTTTATCAGAACAGGGATCTTGTTCTCTGGCTGTTGTATGCCCAATAGGAGAGTGCCCAGAGGCAGAGCTGTCTCTGTAAATACTTATGGAGCAAATTAATCCTCCAGCACCATGTCCTCAAAGCACTCCCTTGACTTCTCGAAGGCTCAAGCTCATGCCTGTGCCCACTTACCCAGTGTTTTGACTTTTCTAGGGCAGAAGCTGTGTTTGATTCACCTCCTTTTCCCTAGGGTGCAACCCAAGGCTGGACACACTCAGAGAGGGTGAGAAGAGAAGCAGGATTATGAATCAGGTCAATGGCAGACCTGCTCATGGCTCCTCCAGGCCTGGTCTCCAAGAAGTCCAGTTCTTATCACCAGAGCCTGATCAAGTGGTCTTTTTCAAGAACTTGCTGTGACCTTTGATTTCTGCCCTCCCCAAACACATACTTATGCTTTGCCGCACTTAGTCTCACCAAACAACTCGAGAGGTTTGCTTTTTCCCTGGTGTGGGGTGGAGACTGGCCACTTCCTTTTGACTCCGCCTTGTGATTGGTGTTTTAGCTTCTCCAAGGGTCATTGGCCCTGTGTACTCAAGTCTCCATGACCCGCTGAGCAGCCCTCCCAGATTCCTGTTACAAGGAAACTGCCAGGCACTAAGAGGGGCTCCATTGTAAAGAAAATCCCTCTGGGGACTGTTTCCTGATGCCATGGACTCAACTTTATAGAGCCCAAAGGCTCAGAGGACAAAGGACTTTCAACCCATTCAACACATGGGCAAGTCTCTCACAAAAGTGGGAATTTGGAACTGAAAGAATTTCATAAAACCAGGAGTCTATGATTTAGCGATAGAATTCTCTCCTTCCATGCTGAAGACCTGGGTTTGAGTCCCAGCCTCATGTGCAGCCACAACACATCTGTCAGTGGAGGTTTGTGTGTTACTATGATGATGAAGCAGACCCTCTAGACTATCTACCTCTATCTGCTTCTGAAAATCAGCCACCGAAAACCCTATGGATCACAACGGTCCAATGCCCAACTGATTATGGGGATGACCAGGACTGGACAGCATTTCCTTTTGTTGTGCTTGAAGTTGTCATGAGTTAGGGCCAACCTGAATGGAGCTAACAACAACAATGTATCCTACAGACTTAGAGAAAGAGTGGATTGGGGAGGGGAGGAGGGCACCTGTGAGCAAAGGGACAATAAGAAAACCTTGGCTCTAGTCAGGGAAATGATCTCTTGAGAATGTCTAACCAAAAATCCTCTCATATATCTAAGATCTCGTATGTGATCTAGGAGAAGCCAAGATGAAAAATTGTGTTTCAAATGTCCCAGCTCATCTCAACTTAGGGCACTGTGGGGACGTAAAGCACCTTACCCTTCACCCAAGCCCCTCAGGATTTTCTCAGCTGGAGATCAGGCAAATTTGAGCTCACCTTGTAAAATTAACAAACACGGTTAAGAGATCAGCAGACTGAGAGTTGACTGAAAGAACAAGCCTCAGAAATAATCTTCCAAGGGCTCTACACAACAGGTAAATTGGTACAGAACAAACAAAAAGAGAGTATAATTAAGGAATAAATAAAAAGTAAATGATAGAATTAATGAACTGGAATAAGGAAACAACTATAGAACTAATAATAAAATTAAAAACTGATTCTTTGCAAACAGCACAAATTTGGCGAAACTGACTGCAGTAGTTTGGATTATTGTTCCCAATTTTTTACTTCCTCCTTGTTATAGAATTATATAATCAAACACTTTGCCATAAGACTTTGCAGAGCCTCCCATTGGAGTAAGCACTTCTACCTCTCTGATATTTGGCTTGGTCATGTGACTATGGGCAGACATGAAGGGAAATAAAAATATTGTTGTAGTAAGCACTGAGGTAGAGAATTATTGTGGCATTGCCTGACTGATACAATTATCAATGACTAATAGAAAAGATTTAAGAAATAAACAATATTAGGAAGCAAAAAGGAATATTATGTTAATATTAAAAAGACACAAACCCATTGCTGTCGAGTCCATTCCAACTCATAGTGACCCTTAGGACAGAGTAGAACTGCCCCAAAGAATTTCCAAGGAGCACCTGGTGAATTCAAACTGCCGACCTTTTGGTTAGCAGCTGAACTCTTACCACTACCCCACCAGGGATACAGAGGGTATTAATATTATAAAATATGCTATATACAATTGATTTTATAGCAATACATTTGAAAACTAGATATAATAGGTAGTATTAGGAGGCCATTTATAATCTCCTAAGTTGGTCCAAGAAGAACTGATATATTAGTTAATATATCAGTAATTATGAAAGATAGACATGGAAGTCAAAAAGTAACCATCCCCTCATAAAGGAAAAAAAAAATGGCATTAAGGTGAGTTTTACCAAATTTTCAAAGAAGAGATAATTCCTCTCTTAAACAAATTGTTTGTTAAAAAAAAAAAAAAAAAGGATTTAGCTAAAGGATTAGGTAAAAATGTAAAACAGAATCAGGTAAGGACAGAATAAAAAATAAGAACTCTTAGATTGAAAAGGTAAAAAAAAAAGCCTCCCAACAAAAAAAAAAGCCCTGGCTCAGATGGCTTTACTGGAGAATTCTACCATTCAGAGACGAGCTTACACCAGTACTACTCAAACCATTTCAGAACATAGAAAAGGAAGCAACACTTCCAAATTCATTCAATGAGGCCACCATAACCCTGATACCAAAATCAGGCAACAACACCACAAAAAAAGAAAATTACAGACCAATATCTCTCATGAATATAGATGCAAAAATTCTCAACAAAATTCTAGCCAATAGAATTCAGC